TCATTCATGACTTTTAATATGGCAAATTGATGACCATTTTTATCTTTTTTCATAAATAAAACTTCAAAAGATTCGTTTTGATTTTCAATCAGATCATTTGAAAATTGGAAGGTATATTCAATATTTTCTAATGATAGATATATACTAACAATACCTTCCGCCAATGAACTAATCTGACGGATTTTATTCAATTCGATGACTTTCAGTGGATTTTCAAGTGGATCAAAGTTTGATGTTCGAAACACAAATCCACAATCCGAACCATTTTTCATTTCGCCAGTCATTGTAAGTGAAAAAATTCATACAAATGAAACATTCGAATTCATTTAAAAACCACCATCAATTCCAAATGTCAGTATCATCGCCAGATTCATAATGAAATGGTTCTGGTGGATTGACATATTCATCTGATAAATCAAAATCCCCATCATTGTATTGTTGATTAAATACAATATCTTCACCATTCCAAACGAAAATTTCATCGTTTATTTCCAGTTTTTTGATCATCAATATTGTATTTGTTTGTGGTAGTGGTGGTCATTCTGGCGTTTGAAAAAACATTTTTCAACTGATAAAAAAAAATTCGAATTTTTCCAGTTTTCGAAATGTTTTAAAAACTTGCGTCATATAAAACGTTACAAAAATTGATATGATAGAATGTTTGATAAGATAACAATGATAAAAATTCATAAAGGTTTTTTCATAGATAAAACATAATTTTTTATTTAAAAAAGAATTCAAACATAATTTTTCAAATGAAATTATTGAAAATTTTCATTGAATAAATGATATACACGATTGGCCATATTTGTAGTTTGATGCCAATGAAAGCATGGAACACGACTTTCAATGGTTCCAAGCAAATGTTTTACGATGAAATCATTTGAAAATTGGAAGGTATATTGTATATTCTCCAATGATAGGTAAATGCTTACAATACCTTCGGCCACTGAACAAATTTGGCGAATTTTGTTCATATCGATGACTTTTAGTGGATTTTCTAGTGGATCGAAATTTGATGTTCGAAAAACTAATCCACAATCTGAGCCATCATTTCGCCAGTTATGTGATGGCAGTTCTTTTGTATTAGCCAATATATTATGCATATGCAAGAAATAAAAATCGCATTCACTCCAGGAATGCGTTGAAGTTTCTAAACGAAGATCGCCATTATATTTGGCGAATACATCTACAACATCCCATTTTGTTTGATATTGTAATTTTTCCATTTTTTTTGTTTTATTTGAGAGTTTATTGGAGAGTTTTTTCGTGATAAGATAATAAATGATTCAATAGTGATAAGTATAAAAAATACAATTTATACTGATAAGTATAGTGAATCGATTGAAAAAAGTAAATGAAAATATCGTTAAATTTATACAGAATAACATTGATTATTTTGATTTGAAAAACAATATGAAAAATTTAAAAATTTTTTCATTATAATTTTAATTAATTAATTTTGTAAATAAATAAATTTAAATTTAAATTGGAATTACAAACAAACAAACAATATTCATCTCTTACAATTTGTTGATTTTTGATTTTAATTTTCGATGATCAATATCCANGATAATAATAATTGATTCAATAGTGATAAGCAAAAATAAAACAATAAGTTTTATCGGAATAAGTAAAAAGTATAGAGTAACACTTGTAAAAAGTAAATGAAAATATCGTTAAATTTATACTGAATAACATTGATTATTTTGATTTGGAAAACAATATGAAAAATTTTTTCATTATAATTTTAATTAATTAATTTTGTAAATAAATAAATTTAAATTTAAATTGGAATTACAAACAAACAAACAATATTCATAGCTTACAATTAGTTGATTTTTGATTTTTAATTTTCGATGATCAATATCCACCACCACCAGGTGCAGCAAGACTAATTGGAGCAAAAAATGCCATTTGTGGAC